CAATGCAATTTGAACTGGTGAAATTGGGGAATCATGGGCAAGAGTACGCACCATTTTACACACTCCACTGTGCAGAGGAATGAGACGGAACGCAACAGCTGACTAACTCACTCACTCCAGCTCTCTCTTTCTATTTCTCTTTCTCTCTCATTCTCTCTTTTTTTCCCGCTCATTCCCAAATAATATTTGCAAGACAATTTCAAGAATTATCTTGCCACAAAATGAGTTGAAAGAAATAATTGGAAATATTGATGAGAATTTGAACGCTTTCGTTCCACAAAAACCCATTTTTACAAACACAAATGAAAAACTTCAATGGTAACCAAGCAGAATATGCGAATGAAGCCTGGTTGTCATGCAGATGGAGGAATCCGGGCAAAAGGACGGGATATCGGGGACTCTTTCTCTCTTTCTCTCTCTCCACACCAGGCACATGGCTCATTTCGAGGCTCGCCCCGAAAAAAGTCGGGGCGAAAAGGACCCAGCAGAAGAAGAAGGAGCCGAAGGGCCACGAGTAAAGTCGGGACCTCCGGAAAAAAACGGGGGAAAGATGGGGGAATAGCCTCGGGGCATGGCTATCTCTCTCTCTCTCTCTCTTCCCTTGAAGATACTCGAAAAGCCATGCCCTCTCGCGGAGGCATAAAGCACATTCCAACTGCATGCCGCCAAATGTGTTAGCTCGGACTCGGTTCAGTTTTCGCCGGATTTTTTGGGTCTAGGCATGCATTTTGGTAAACTGGCATTCAGTAAGCATAAACCCCCAAGTAAAATGTTTTTAAAGGTACGTGGTAGGCAAAATCCATAAGTATAGTTCTGACAACTTGCCAGAAGAAGGAAATAAATGATTTATAGAATCGTTCGATGGGTTTAAACAGTTTTTCTACACAAATTACTGAAAACTGACATCCAAATAGCCATATTACTTTTTAAAGAGCCATAGAAGTCCAAATCCAGCAAGCTAGTATCGAAAACCAGCCAGTTTAACAAGATAAATGGTTTAAAATATTCCGGTGATTTCAACGAGATGCCGGGCAATTTTGGAGTCGGCTGAGTCGCTTTTCGGGGTCGGACAATGTTTGTACAACAGCCATTATGGAATGGGATTTGATTGAGGCGGATGGCGATAAATAGACCTAAAATGCAGCTGGAAAGAGTGTGATTGAACGGAATATGGTCAAGCAGGATGGGTTTTCTAGGATTTTTATGCTAACTGGTGTGTGAAAACAAGGACAACGATATGTGTGAAAACTGCAAGATACTCTCGATTTTTGAAGTGTTCATGGTCAAATCGTGGAGAAACGGGAAACCGGGAGTACTTGAAGAAGGGATAACTAGACTGGAAGACAGAAACAAAACAGACAGACAGACAGAGAAATGGCCAGACAGATCAACAAATGAACAGACAGGATAAAACAAAAAGAAGCTCTTACTTTACAAATTTTTATTAAGAATACAAAAAAATATAGATTTCTGATCAAAAATGGCCGATTTTCAACCAAAGCTCGTATTAAGAAAAGTTTTTAGGTTTTTTAATTGAATTTTCTACTCGACGCTATCGTCAAATTTTACTAAAAAACGCTGTTAAAATGGTTGCTATTACAAAGACAGACAGACAAAATAAATAACAAGGTGCTTAAGGGGGGTGGAGGCATTTTCCATCGGAATTTCGATTCAAATTTCAGATGAAAAAATTTTGAGACAGCTTTTTCGTTTTCAGTAGAGCAAAATTTTACCAAAGCCATTGTTAAAATTGTTGCAATTAAGTTACTATGAATCTTTGTGCGTTTTTTGTGAAAATTCGCTTACGCCTCCCCCCCCCGATAATGCAAAAGCTCCGAAAAAACGACAGACAGACAGATAGCTAGAAGGAAAGATAGACAGACAGACTGCCAGACAACCAATAAAAAATCAAACTTAGAAAGCGGCAGGAGTATTGGGGCGTAGTGTGGGTCTCCCGTGCGTGTGTGTGGGTATTGGCCCCCTCTCTCCTCTGTGTGTGATCGGTCGTTTCGGTAGTCTGTTTGCCCATCAACTATTCCAGCAGCCGCCAGCTAGGCCATTGGCAAAGAAAAAGAAGCGCAGCCGTTGCTTCCATTGTCTTTTCAGACGTTGAAACAGACGAGAACAGACCGAGAACGTCATCTCGATTTTCTCGAGAAAATGGCTGGCAGATGGCTCGAAAATTTTCCTTGGGTACTTTTTGGATAGTTTGATCGTCAAACTGACCGGAAACTCCCCTAAAAATAGTCTTATATTCTTCAAAGCACCAAAAACAGGATTCTGACGTGTAAAAAGTTCAAATTTTGTATAGCGTATTCGGCTCTTCCCGGATATCGGAGGGGGGGGCGCCTAATGGATGCCGATAAGTCCAGAAATGGTTAGTCGCATAATAATGCTTTTGGTAAAATATAACAGTATTTCAACTAGAAAAACTATCTAAAACTTTCAAAAAATGGAAATTTTTTATAAAACCCGACCATTTTTGGTCGAAAAATCGATACTTATTGTCGAAAGTTCTGTACTAAGTACAGGACTTACGAGATTTATTCGCATTGGGCGCCTTGGGGGTGGCTTGCTATCCCGTGCCCCTCGGCCCGCCGGCTACGGTAGGCAGAGAGGGCCCCCAAAAGGGCGCCGAATTATGGCCGATTAACCGTCAACCTCTTCCCAAAAGGGCGTCGTTGCCGCCAGTCGCTGCGCGACTGGTTTGGTTGATTTGGTAGGACTTTCGGCTTCTGCCGGGTCCGAAGCCCGATTGGAGTGGCAGAAATACTCTTACAACCAGCCCTTCACTTCCTATTGAGACTTAACCGTTTCTGCCTTACAACCAGTGCTTCTACTCGGATCTTGTGTATCTCTTCCCAGTGTTGCCTTTCTGTACTAATAAACCTTTTGTCTATAACAAGTGTTCTCTTATTGGTAATCGCATTGGATCTCATTCATGGTCTGTTGGTGGACATTCGTCTTGGCGTATATTACACAGACCCCCGCTGAAACCGATGATCCCCCGTGTATGGGAGTAAGCAGGTCATCGTTAAGGGGATAGGTGGCAAGTCCCTCGCGTGGGCATTATTGGGATTTATTCCTAATAGTGCGGGATTGCTATTCCTTTTCGACATGGTGCGTTTTGGCCGTTTTGAATGGACCCAGGTCGAGATCCATTGCGTACCAACTCTCCTCTTTTCATTTTGGTTTATTTTCCCTTTCTTTCTTCTCTGTTTTTTAGAGTTTACAACCAGAACGGCACACAGAGAAATTGAAACCTCGGTTTCACAGAACAGCAGCTTCATTGCCTTCGTACAAAGGCAATTTTCCAGTCGTCACAATACGCTGGACCTCCCAGAAACAGTTTCCACGCCCAGCCCCTGGCCAGAGGCACTCTTCCGCGCCAAGCACCCCGCTGACCCAAGAGGTACTGGCATTTTTAAATCCCTGGGTGCACGACTGGCCATCAGCTTATGGTCAATGTGCGTTGATAGCGGTACGAGTTAGAGTTAGTCTCAACTCCACGCGGTGCTTCAGCTTGAGGGAAAGCGGGCGAAGAGGGGATAGATAACCAGTTTCTCCGAGAGCTGCGCAATGTGAAATCCAGGCCTTCCCAGCTACAAGATCTACCAGCGGGACGCCGTTCAAGAAGCACTAGAAGTTTTACAGACGCGCGAAGAGTTTCAAGAAAGAAGCGGAAGCGTTGGAAAAGCCGTATGATGTTTTTTCACAGCCAGTCTTTCGAGTTTTGGACCGGGTGTGGTCGATTTTCCGGTCCCAGATCGCCAAAACTCGTCGTTTCGCAGTTTTTCAGGTGGTCAACAGCTCGAAAGGATGAAGTCGATGTCGTTCTAAGTTGGTCAAGCTTCGATTCGCGTTCCAGGAAGGAGGTTGCTCGCTGCCCGATGCTTTTCAAGCGGAAAATGGGACGTTACGACCGTGCGGCTTCCACCAGGATTGCAAAAACGAGGTATGGAATACAATTTTCGGAAGATTACCCTTTTCTTTAGCCATTTATGGTTATTGAAAAAGGTAATTGGAAGAATTTTGTTTTTCCTTTTCGTTTTCTTGACCCAACACAGATACTACGAAGCGCCGACATACCCGCAGCCCGTCATACGTCGCTGCGCAGATGCCGTTGCGCATAACGAAGACCACACATGATATAATACAAACAGTAGTTCCTTTTGAACTACCCAGATACAGAGTTTACACACAGAATACTTTTAAGCAATTTTTTAAGTAAAATTTGTAACGTTCTAATGCTTAGATAGCAAAACCGTTTGGAAACAATTCTAATATTTATATTTGAAACCTCAGATTGTAAGAAAAACAGTTGACCCCCCGATAATACACAAGAACCGCAATTTTTTTCGGATTTTAGGAATTCCAATTTTCAGGAATCCAATTTTTCGCCATTCAGATTTTGCGTATTCCGATTTTTCCGAAATCCGGCTCCGAATCCACTTTTCAGGATTGTCATCGGAAATCGTTGCCTCGATGACGAAATCCCCTCCCTCTTTCCAGCTGACTGTCTGGTTGTATTGTTGGTGGTTGATGGTGGTTGTCCCTCTCGTTTCTCTGCTCCCTCCCATTTCCCCCACCCTCTCCCTTCCAAATGCGCGAATAGAGGTCAACCACCCACCAACAAACCATGCAAATCGACTTTTGACTCGAATTTTGGAGTCAAGACCTCTGGTTTTTAAGTTTAATATGTAAACTGGCAAGCAGTTTATTAAATCCCGTTGACTACTTAACAATTTTTAGCTTGCAACGATTTTTTAAGCCACATTTGCCTTGTTTTTCGATAGATTTCGCTTTTTTGTGTGGATTTTCAACGTTAAATCCGATTCGCTAGGTATTAAAAGATGTCCGACGACGAGCAGCAGTATTATGGAGGCGGTGATGACGGGCAGGGGTCGGTTTTTAACATTTTGTTTATCGAAAATAATATTTTAAGGTAAAAAATGAATTTTTCAGGTATGACGATGGACAGTATGGAGGAGGGGATGATGGAGCATATGGTGGAGATGATCAACAAGGTATTTTGCTATAAATAATATAAATTTATGGTGCATTCGCTTGAATCTAATTAGTGTTGTTTGTTGAAATTGAACATTTTTCAAGTGGAAAAATGATCAAAACGTTCAATAGATGGAATTTCGGTAAAAATCGGTCTTTTGTTGTCGAAAAAGTAGATATTTTTGGATGAAATTTTGTAAAGTTTGATGCTTTTCTTAGGCTATGATGATGGAGGAAACTACGATGAGGGCGGAGATTACGGCGGTGATGGCCAGGGTATGATTTTATCACGTTTTCCACGAGTTTTCCCCGCTTAGACTAGTGTCGGACAGCACCCCAAGAAACGCACCCTGGGTGCCTTTGAAACGCACCCCAGGTGGTCTTTGAAACGCACCCGCGGTGCCTTTCAAACGCACCCCGGGGTCTGTTTGAAACGCACCCCGGGGTGCGTTTCGGGGTGCGATTGGGGGTGTGTTTTGGGGTGCGTTTCGGCCCAACAGGTTACCACGAATAGCAAGGAAAGCCGATAAATAAAAGTATATTTAGCATAGGAATATTGCAGAACCCTTCAAAATGCTATTCTTGCCGCATCTCATACTCCAGTTAATTTCTATTAATTGTTATCGGTTTCATTTTTGGAAATCCCGTAAAATTTCCATACTTGTTGCAAAAATTATGAACAAAATCATTTCAGCCCCGATAAAATATGAACATCCTATCATAAATTGTTTAAAACTCCAACATGGGCTATCAAATATATCTTACTGAAAGCGGAGCCGTCGGATGGCATCAATTCTGTATAGAAAACTTAGTAAAACATATCTGTAATATTCCTATGACAAATATACTTTTTATCGACTTTCCTTGCTATTCGTGGTAACCTGTTGGGCCGAAACGCACCCCAAAACACACCCCCAATCGCACCCCGAAACGTACCCCGGGGTGCGTTCAAAGGCACCCGGGGACACTATTAATGCACCCCCGAGGAAGAGGGGTGTCTTTCAAACGCACCCCGGGGTGCGTTTCGAACAGACCCCGGGGTGCGTTTGAAAAGCACCCCGGGTGCGTTTCAAAGACCCCCTGGGGTGCGTTTCAAAGGCACCCGGGGTGCGTTTCTTGGGGTGCTGTCCGACACTAGCTTAGACTATGATAATGGTGAACAGTACGAAGAACCCGAGCCACAAGAAGAAGAGGAGCATCAGGTTTCTTGATTTTTTAGCTCTAAAACTAATTTTGATGTTTCTAGGAAGAAGAAGTTGAGGAAAATCACGAAGGTGAAGATGAACGCCAAGAGGAAGACGTTTACCCGGTTGGTTAGCCTTAAAAACAGATTTACAGCTTATTAAACTTACTAAATAAGTTTTTATGAATAATTATGTATTTAAAAGGAACTTCATAAACCGTTTTTAAGGTTTTATGAAAACTTGTCACCTTAACTTTTTACGAATTTTGTGGTTTTTAAAGAAGTTTTTAGCGTTTTAGATTTAAAACGTTTTAAACTTATTAGTCTATACTTTTTATGATTTTTTAATGTTTAGGAAGACGATTACAACGACCAAAATGAGGATGAGCACGAGGAGCAAGAGGAGCATGAAGAAGAGCATGAAGAAGAGCAGCCGGTGAGTCAGAAATATGTATAAAACACATTTTTCATTATTTAGGACGAAGAAGCTCATGCTCAAGATGTAGATGATGTGGAGGTGCTCGATTGGTCTCCAGAAGACGTCAGCAGCCCTGAAGATTTGGTAATTTCAAGCCATAAAAACTTAATTTTGATTTTAGGAGCGTCTCGAGTTGTCGGGCCATACTTTACAAGCGACAGACTCTGGTGATGGGGGTGGTTTCAACGTTGGCAGTATGATTAAAGGTATAGAAATAGTAATTTAGGACCTTTTGCGTTATCGGGGGGGGAGGGCTTTTGATTTAAGGCTCAATTTTCTTAATATGGATTGAGGAAATGTTTTGAAACTCTTTTTCCTATCGAAACGTAAAAGTTGTCATCAAAAATTTCGAAAATACAGATTTCCACAAAAATACCGATTTTCGACAAAGATTTCAATTTTTTTAAACTGTGTCGGTTTCGTCCGATTTTTCTGTTTTCTAAATAACCGCTATTAAAATAGGTACGATGGATTTCTGGATTAAACGGAAAGCCCCTCCCCCGATAATGCCAAAAAGATCCTGACTTGAATTTTTTTGACGTTTTCAGGGCTTAAAAATGTCAAGGTAAATAAATTAACATACACAAATTCAATTCATGGTTTTGTCGTTTTATTTTCAGGTGCCATGGACGGTTTTGGAGGGGAAAGTGGTGGTGGCGGGGGAGGGTTCGGAAGTATTGTGGGGACGATCTCGAGCATGATCTCTGTAGGAGGAGGGTCACGTGAGTTTACATTTTTTTGCATACTTTTCTCGGAATTGCAGCGTTGAGCAACACCTTTTCATCCGGCGGCTTCTCCCATATTGCCGAGGGGCTGATCGCGAAGGCCGCGCATCGGTGGGCCATTTTTTCATGAAAAATGACTTCAAAAACTAACATTTTTCCCTGAAAAACCTCAATTTTTTAATAGAAGCTGTTAAAATATACAGTTTAGCATGTTTTAACAAAATTTTAAAAGTTTTGTTGTATAAAAATAGTAGGTTTTTACGTAAAATCTCTTCATCGTACACCATTTTAGCCCAAATTTTTATGCCATTGTATATGTATGATTAATTTAAATAATGTTTAAAACACCAAATTACCCACCACCAAAAACCCCCCTTTTAAGAATATCTCCCTCAAACCTAGAAAATTTAGCAATTTTCGCTCAAATTTTATACGTCATTAAAACACAATAAAATCTACAAGCTAACCGGGAAACTCCATAACAAAAATCTTTCAGTTTCCTCGGCATTGATGAGAGGACGGGCGCTATAATCGGTGCGATAGCCGGAAATGCAATGTTTGGAATGGGTGGACAGGGAAATTCCCTTGGAGGCCTTGGCAAGCTCATCCTCGACAATATTGTTTCCGGGAAATTCAGGAGAAAGGTATCGGCTTTTAATAGATAAAATAAAATATAAATTTTCAGGTGGATCCATGGGTCTCCCCGGTGGCCGGAATGCCCAAATTCAACCTCAATTTCTACGCCGAACGGGATAGGTGCGTGAATTACATCGCGTAATTGCTTGGATTTTTGGCTATAAACTACAGATGTTAATGCAGGTTTAAGGCATTTGTCTGCTATTTAGCCGTTTTCCGTCAACTAAAAAACCAAAAAACTTGAATCCGCGATTTTGCACTTTACGGACTTTTCGTGAATTACATCGCGTAATTGGTTGGATTTTTGTGCTCTAAACTACAGATTTTAATCTCGATTTTAGTCAATTGGCTGCCATTTAACTGTTTGCCATCAGCTAAAAAAACCAAAAAATTAATTCCGTGTTTTTACGCTGCACGGACTGTTCGTGAATTACATCGCGTAATTGCTTGATTCTTAGGGCCTTAAACTACCGTTTTAATCCATATTTTAACGCCTGCGCTGAAATTCAGTTCTATAAATTACTTGCAACTGAAAAAAAAACTAAAAACTAAAAAATCAAAAATTTTAATTTTTGAAAAATATAAATTTTTAATTTTTGGACTTTAGTAGACTTGAATTAAAATGTTTTTAGATGTCTACAATCGGCCACGCTCTTCGAAGACCCGGAATTCCCGGCCGGAGATAGAGCTCTTTTCTATAAGACGCCACCCGATCAGGAGGTCGTTTGGAAGCGGCCGGGGGTACGCTATTTTCTAAGAATTTGCGAATTCCATGAACTGCTCACCAGTTAATGCAAAAACACTTTTAAATAATCAAAAATACAAAAATTTCAGGAGATAGTCTCGAATCCGCAGCTGATCGTCGAGGGACACTCAAGATTTGACGTCAAACAAGGTAAGATTTGTAAAATTAGAGTTTGTATCCCAATGTTTCAAGTTGTAGTTTGTAGTCTGGCAGCCAGCAGAAGCCTATAAAATTTTGGAAAATGCAATTAGTCCATTAGAGTTTGTAGCCCTGGGTTTATACTGTGGTTTGTAGCCTAGAATACAGATTAGCCTTTGTAGCCTAGAATCTCGAGGTGTAGTTCGTAATCTGTTTCCAACTGCCCTAAAAATAATGCTAGAAATTTTCTAAAAATAGATGAGCCAAGACTTTACAGTTTATAGCCTGGAGTCTCGAATTTCAGTTTGTGGCCTAGCATCCAAATTAGGGTTCGTAGCTTAAATCCAAGTTGTAGGTTGTAGTCTGCCTGTCAGAAGACCCAAAAATTGCAATACAAATTAAAAAATAACGGTCGAACAATTGAGGCGCCCTCGGGGACTGCTGGCTGCTGGCCGCCGTGGCAAATCTGACCCTTCGAGACGAGCTGTTCTACCGTGTATGCCCGCCCGATCAATCTTTTACTGACAATTATGCCGGTCAGTTTAGCCAATTACGGTCAGATGTATAGTAGCGAATTTACAAAAGTTTTATTTTTTTTTGAATTTTCGAAAATTTATAAATTTTTTGATTTTTAATTTTAAGAATGTACTTGTTGAAAGGTTTAGGCTTTAAAAAGCAAATAGATTTCGCTGTCACCCTCCCTTTAATTACCGTAATTTCTCAATTGATTTTCTCCAGGTATTTTCCACTTCCAATTCTGGCGCTACGGTAAATGGGTTGATGTGGTGATTGATGATCGGTTAGTGGATACTGTAATTCTTTAAACAATCGATATTTTTCCAGATTGCCAACTGTTGATAGTGAATTGATGTACATGCATTCGGCTGATCATAACGAATTCTGGAGTGCCCTGCTCGAAAAAGCATATGCAAAGTACGGTAGAATACGGGATTACGGTAGCTGGCATTTGTCATTTTTGAGATTTTTAGTTTAAAGTGGGGGATTATCATCCAGCTTAGGTGATTATGGGCTATAAAAGGGCCGGGGAAGAATTCTAAATATCGGCACGCGAAGAATGCGCAAAGTACGGTAGAATACGGAATTACGGTTGCTCGGATTTGTCATTTTTGAGATTTCGATTGTTTTAGCATTTGAAAAGCCGGTTTGGAGTCCAGCTAAGCTGTAGATGACGTTTAAAGGGACCGGGGAAGTCAGGAATCTGGTTTATCGATTTCTCAGAGTCTACGGCTCGTATGAAGCATTGGAAGGAGGGAGTACGGTAGAAGCACTCGAAGATTTCACCGGAGGGCTGACTGAGAATTTCGATTTGAGGTGAGAGAGAGAGAGATAGAGAGAAAATCGTATGCTTTTAGAAAAACTCCTCGAGAAACAATCCTGGCAATGATGGTTCGTGGATTCCAGATGGGAGGAATGTTTGGATGCTCTATTGCTGTAGGTTCTTTCTGAATTTTGGGGCATCATGAAGGCAACTTTTCTTGAGGAACTAGCTAGCAAAGCTTCTTGCGAAAAGCGCGATTTTCAGCTTGCTTTTGGAAAATGGGTCACTAGCAGGGCTTGTTCGGGATTTCTGAGGCAGCTAGCAGAGATTCTGAGGGATTAAAGGGAGCATGACAGCTAGATCTTTGAGTCTGGGTAACGAGCAGCGACCTTTGAGGAACCGTTTGATAACTAGCAGGGATTCTTGAGGAACAAAAGCCGATCAGACTCCATCAAAACCTATTTTCAGGCAGACCCCGAGGTGAAGGAAGCGGTACGTCGTGATGGTCTAGTGATGGGCCATGCATATTCCATTACTGCACTCCATACGGTAAGTCGCCAGTTTAAAGGCAGTGTGACAGATCGGATTTCGGGTTAAAAAGCGAGAAACTGACAGCCAAGCTGCTAGTTGACACGCCCCTTTAAAAACTAGTTTATTGCGTAAAATTATTACTTACAAAGTTTGATTTTTTGATTTTATTTTTTGATTTTTAATTGTACAAATTGTTAATTTTTGTTTCATTTTTAAACTGGCGATTTTTAGGTGCAAACCTCCCATGGAGAAGTAGTGCTGGTGCGTATCCGAAATCCGTGGGGGAATAGCAAGGTAAAGAATCCGATTACGCTAGGTATTCCAAAATTGACATAGGAATGGAACGGAGCCTGGTCGGATAATGCCCCGGAATGGGATCAAGTAGATGCATCAGCACGACCGCCATTCGAGAAAGATGGAGAATTCTGGTACGAAAAAATTAAAAAACGGATCCTAAAAATTGTTCAAAAATGGAATTTTAGTTGTTTTAAAGGGACGATGACAGCTAAATTTTTGTAACTTTTCGTCAAGTTTTGAATTCTGGCCATCTGCCAACCATTGCACATTTCAGGATGTCCTTTGACGATTTCTACAGGGAATTCGAGGAGATGGAACTCTGCAATTTGTCCGCCCAGGTAAAATCGTCAAGATTTCCTTGAATTTTTCATCCTTTTTAATTTTTTTTGAATGGATCGTTTTTCTAATTGTTATCCCATTGTGGTAAAGACAAATATTCCAGGTGATGAACGAGATCAACGAGATGACTGGGGTGGACACCAGCCAGATCGATAAGAGGGTATGGTAGAAAGATAATTTTGGCTTAAATGTTTGAATATGGGACCGATTGGAGTGAAGTTTTCAATATTGCCTTTCGGCATAAAATACACGTTTCCTCAAAATGTTCGCCAAATCCCCCATACAATAGCAAAATTACGGCAGATACTGGCTATTTCTATCGAAATCGATCAAAACTGTGCCAAATCGGCTAAAAATTTAAATATTGCCTATCTGGCATCCAATAACCATTTCCTGACAAAATTCCAAGTTCGCAAAGTAAACAGATTACGGTAGCCGCCATTTCCAAAACCGCGCCCCAGTTACCGTACCTCCTTGTTCCAGGTCTCCCAATGGGCCGAGAGGGCCAATGACGGGCAATGGGACGAGCAGAGAGGAACGGCCGGTGGATGCTCCAATTATCCAAGTAATTTTTCCTATTTTTCTAGCACATCCCGCCGTATAGACTCATACTACCGTAACCCCCAATTCGGCGCCCAGTTCACCGTGACCGCCGATTCGGTGGAACAGGACGGAAAAGTGACCGTTATTGTGGCGCTGTTGCAGAAATACAGGTATTTTTGAAGTAGCAAAAAATTGTACTAGCATGGATTATTGAGGAAAATTCGTGCCACGTTCCTTTTAAAACAAAATATTTCATTTGTCGATTTTAACTGTCATAAATTTTGCCGGACTGGCTGCCAATGAAAAGCCTACGATAGATAAAGAGCCGAAAAACGGTGAATTTCAAAATTGGGTAGGTGCCAAAATGATCTGTCGCTGTCCCTTTAAAGCTGTTTTCGCTGCGTGAATGGATGCTTTGGCTTCATTGGCCGCCAGCTAAAAGCTTACAGCACTTAATTCCTCGAGAAATTTGGTTACTTTGGAAGACGGTGCCAAAATACCCGTTCACTCCCGCTTAAAAGACCATAATTTGAAAAAATCGGGGTTTTGAGGCGAGAACTCCAACCACAAGGCCTCGACACCCTCCCGATTGGTTTCTCCGTGTACGAGGTAGGTCAAGCCAGCTTAGGACCAGAAAATTATAGTTTTTAGTCTGTAGTCTGTACGGTACAACTTATGTTTTCAGGCTCCCACGGTCGGCACCCCACTGGACATGCATTATTTGAGGAATAACAAGGCCATTGCGAGGGTTCCGGTGTATGTAAATATGAGAGAGGTAAGAAGTAGAGAATTTTATTTTTGGGTTCGTTTTAAAAGGGGTGGAAGAGCCAGATTTTCCCATTTTTCCCTGGCTCTTTTTTGCCTTTCCTGGTTAGGCCTGACCTCTATAAAGAGTAGGAGCCATGAAAACAGATTGAAGATGCCAAAAAAAGAGCCGAGTCCATTTTAAAGGTGTTGTGACGGCTAGAGAACTCTCGCCTTCTCTCTCTTTATCTCTCTCTCACTCTCTCGCTCTCTCACTCTCTCTCTCGCTCTCTCACCACCTAAAACGAAGCAAAAAGTCACGCGAACGCTTTTCTGCCTCATTTTAAAGGTGCTGTGACAGCTAGATATCCCTCTTCTTTCAGGTGACAGTGCGTTTCCGTGTCCCTCCAGGAGATTTCGTCATTCTCCCATCCACCTTCGAACCCGGCCAAGCAGCCGAATTCCTCATCAGAATCTATGCCAATGGGGCTCTGCAATTTGGGTACTATAGTTTTTTGAAATTCATGGAAACTTAATTTTTAGAACGCTGCAAGGATAGGCTAAACCGACAAACTCCGCAGAAATTAAAAATTTTCGTCTGATAACCATAAGTTACAGCAAAATTCTACACTTCTCCGATACTTAATTAGGATCTTAATTATGATATGTGGATGCACTTTTTAAAATAGCCGATGGCAAAATAACTCACTTACAATATCCCAATACACTTAATTTTGTCGATTATTTTATTTTCCATTCCTAAAAAATCCGACTACTGTGATTTCATACGGTATTTTTTCACAATTCGAATAAATTATTCTTAAATGTAAAAATGGGTTTACTGGCTGGTGGCTATAAGAGAAATACAATAAAAAATATGGCAAATTCATCACATACGTTTGTTCTAATTCTATAGAACATTCATCGAGGTAGTTAGAAAAATGGCAGGGCTGAGAATAAATGAAAAGGATCAGCCAACCAATTGCTTAAATTCGGCCACCATCGAATAAATACATTCGTCATCGCTTGGATAGGCCGGGTCGAAGCGCAGATCCTAAAATTGTGTAAATCCAAATATTTCATCCCAAAACTACGCGATTCATCAATTCAAAACCTTACTTGCAATACTTCTAGAATCTGCGTGAAATGGGGGCGCTTGCGCCATTCGTATTCGAAACACGGCAGGCTGATCTAAACACAGTTTTAACAAATTACATTCGATCAATTTAGTTACCTTTTGGTAGATGATATCCGGGCACAACGCCGGTTTCCGCAACCGATTCCCCTGATTCAGCCAAATCGACAGCGTGGTCGTCGTCACTTCTTCTAAAAGACAAAAAACTATCTCAAAAAGTATAGAAACCCTCAGTAGTGCTACAAAAACCTACTGCCCCTAAACTGATCAAAATACGGCATCAGCCCGTGGGTGTACAGCTCGAAGATGAGGACGCCGAAAGACCACGAGTCCGAGGTGGCAGCGAATTTCTTTTCTACCAACACCTGAAACAGAAATGAAAGGGCCTGGAAATGCCAAAAATTGAGTTAGGGCCCGAAAACCCGAGCCCTGTACATGGGAGGCCTCTGTACGCACAGGGGCCCGGGAAGCTTGAAAATTTGAAATGGCCTGTTGTCACCTCCAGAGCCCGGGCTCAACTATTGCGGGAATATTCCTGGAATGCCTCAGGGCATTCCCGCAATGTTCCGGGAAGCATTCCGGGAAAGGTGGTGCAAATTATTCCCGGAATGCCTTCTCATCTATTGCGGGAATTCCAGGCATGGATTCCCGGAACTCCATTCCGGGAACGGATCCCGGAATGAGTTCCCGGAATGTCGTCTCATGTATTCCGGGAAACTTTTCGAGTTTCCCGGAATGTAGTTCCGGGAATGATTTTATGTAAGGTTTGGTTCCCCGACAAAATCTCGGGGACAGCATTCCGGGAATGCGCCTCTCATTCTCGGAATGCGTTTCATCTACATTGCGGGAAAACATTCCGGGAACTACTTTCCCGGAATGTAGATGAGACGGCATTGCGGGAAAAAGTGGCTACTTTCCCGCAATGTTTCCCGGAATATTCCCGCAATGTTCCCGCAATGCGTTCCCGGAATGATTCCCGCAATAGTTGAGCCCGGGCTCCGATCACGTTCTCGGCAGTTTCTGGGCCGAATTTCATGATTAAAACAACAAAACTATTTAAAATTGAGTGAGGATTTCCAAAATGGGCTCAGCATGCGCGAATGGTTCTGTTCTATTTCGCGGGGGAAATATGCTTCGCCAAAACTTCTATCTTTTCGCTATTTTCTCGGGATTTTTGCAACGCCATTCGATAGAGCATCAAAAATATACTAAGAGTTGTTGTTTTAGCTCAAAATATAGTAATATGAAAAGGTTATAGCAAAAACAAAAAAAAAACTATTGAAACTGGTGCCTAAATGTTAGTTTTCGGCATTTTCGCCCGTTTTCGATATTTTGAACTCGTCATTCGATAGAGCATCGAAAAATATCCTGAGAGTTTTGATTTGATCTAAAAATATTGTTTTATAAAATAGTTATAGCAAAAACACGGTTTATACGGTGTTTCCACATGGGATCGTGGAGTCAAAAGCTAGTTTTCGACATTTTCGATATTTTTATTTAAATTCTTTTCATGCCATTCGATAGAGCGTTAAAAAATATACGAAGAGTTTTAATTACAACTCAAAATAGCATCATATAAAAGAGTTATATCAAACCGAAGAACATTCCCCCCCCCGCGAACTAGAACAGCACCGCGCGAATTATAGTGTTTTCGCAAAGAAACCGGGCAACAACAGTTTCGCGCAAAAATCGAAAGAGTGGGTGCTCTCGTCCCGCAGCTGTGGCTGGAAACTTGCCAGAAATCAGAGCCCTCCCAAAAGTTCTTTGATTTGGCAATTCGATTCCCCTTTAGAGTAAAAATAATTTATCCTACTATATATAAAAAAATAGTGTCTGTGTGTGTGTGTGTATATATTTGCATGCACTTCCGTTTGGATGTTCCGCACCTACCGCCTCAGGGAAGCATTTTTTCGGTAGGGACGAAACGTCATAGGGTAAAGAAGGGGCCGGAATCGACTGCACACACATATAAGTTTTGAAAAATTTCTATTTTCGATATTAAAATTAGGTTTTTGTAAAGTTTTCGGCCAACCTCTTTGTTAGGAATCAATTAGCATAGGAAGAGGAAGAGGAAAATGGTCTGTAAAAGGAAGAGAGGGCGCGCTTTTCATCTTTTGGTGAGCGGTTTTTGGCAAGAATTATACAAAGCCTTTAACTTCAACGATCCTAGACGGGGGCCAGGGTTGAAAAGCCGCGAAGCGGTTTTTCAACCCTGGTTTTTAGGGTAAAAGTTGTTAGGAAAAAAAGGCGAAATTCGAGCTTCTAAATAAAAAAGTTTACCTCCGGGGCACTCCATGCAATGGGAAATGCTCCTCCAGCCACCAGCTGATAATAATCCCCGATCGGCATATCACGCGTCAACCCAAAGTCGGCCACCTAAAAGAAATCCGTAAACAATAAAAATGTATAAAAGTGAACCTTAACCACCAGCCGATCACTATCGATCAAAACGTTCCGGGCCGCCAAATCTCGATGGATTTTCCCGCGGTCCGTCAGGTATTCCATCCCGGTGGCCACCTAGAAATAGAACGGATTATTTTTTAGACTCCTCCAAGGCCCAAACTCTTTGGCATTGTAAGGTAAACTAAGGATTACCTGGGTGAGAATGTGGAGAGCTTGTGATTGCAAGATATTGGCCTCAGTCTTTTGAAGATAATGAAGCAACGAACCGCCCGACATGAATTCGGTGACGATCTTGTTAGGAATCTCCGTAGTCACCACCTCAAAAGTTACGAACAAGTACGAAAAAAATCGTTAAAGGGGCAAAAATACAGCAAAAATGGTGGATTACGTTCCGAAAACGGGGGCCTCGTACGTTGAAGGCTTCTGTACGCTAAGAACGCGGGAAGGGCGTGAATTTGAAATTTCCGTGGTCACCTCCAGAAACACGATGTTGGCTGTTTCTTGGGCCCAATGCGCAAATTAAGACACTTTAAATTGAGTGAGGATCTTAGAATTCAGCTCAGAATTTGCGAATTATCGTGTTTTCCGGAAAAAAAATCGAGCAAACGTTGTTTTTTGGCCGACCCTGTATGAAAAACGATTACCCCGTAAAGACGAACGATGTTCGGATGGGTCATCTCTTTCAGCTGCTGCACTTCCCTTAAAAAGACCTCGTATAACAGAAATGACTATTTTTTCGTCAACAGAAGATGTCGCAAGCAAAGAAAAGCACTTTTTGAATTCGTCGTTGACTTTGCGTGTGGCATCAGGTCGCACTATTTTGACAGCCACTATTATCCCACGCCATTCACCCGTAAGCACCTAGAGGGCGGAAATTATTGAAAACACCGATCTATACGTACATCCCCGTAGTTCCCGCTTCCGATCAAGTCTCCAATGACCAGCTCATCATTCTTGATCTCCCATCGATCCTCTCCAAATAAGGACCTCGGCCTGATGAGTGGTCTGAACCAAAAATCCTATAAAATTTAGCCAAAGACATAATTAGTGTGTTTTGGCTGTACGTACGTGCCGGGGGACAATCTCTGCGGCGGGGTAGGTGGCGGATCCTGAAAGGTACGTTCTCAGTGGTTTCCGAAACCCGGTAGGATTAAACAAAGATTCCGCAAACGATCTCTGACTTTGCAAATTACAGTGTTGACAATGAATCGGTGACAACGGGTCGAAAAATGAATGAAATGCCATACCCTGAGTAGTTCGAGAATCTTTTTGAATGTCGGCCGCTTGCGCCAGTTATACTCAAAACACGGTTCGACGATCTGTAATGGTTATGATCAGACGTTTCTACAGCACCCAACTGACCTCCTGATACAAAAAGTCGGTGTATTGTTCGAGTCGCCGGAGCCGATTCCCCTGATAAATCCACAACAAGAGAGCAGGCGCCTGGCTCTTGTCTAAAAATCGATCGCTGTAAGCTGATTCTCAACCCAAAAAATACCCTTTCCAAGCTCTTTTTCGTATGGCGCCTCTGCCATCGAGAACAGCTCAAAGATCAGCACGGCAAATGACCACGAATCGGAGCGGTTGGTGAACTGCATGCTGTTCAACACCTGAAACTTCAATGATACCTTGATGACTCAAAGCTACCTCTGGAGCACTCCAAGCAAACGCGATACGGCCAGATGCTGGACAGTAGCTATCTTTTGGAATATCCCGCACACGAGCCATTCCGGTGATCTGAAAACGTACGCACCAAAATTGTGACAGATCGGAATGAAAACGTACAGTCGAATACAACGTTCAAATTCCAGTGCAAACAGAAGTGGTTGCGAAAACAATGTTTACCTTTACAAACATGTCTTCGCCACTCAAATCAACGAGAACATTTCGAGCAGCCAGATCACCATGAACCTTTCCGGCCTTTGATAGATACTCCATACCAGCAGCGATCTGAACTCGCGACTTGTTAATGGGGCTCCGCACTGCCAAAAATTGAGCACACGTCTGGGAGGGGCCCTGTACTCGTCCCAACGTGTACACTAGAGAGGTTATTATTCAACTAAGATATGCAAGCAACTAACGTTCTCGCAATAAGGTTCGCCGAATGCCAAATTTCCTTATTCAGTTCCGATTAGCTTAACCAAATCAGCAAAATCTTATTCAGATAGGCGCGTTTTAGTCGAATCAGCTGAGTTAAAGCTGATTCGACTAAAACGGAACGAGAAATTGCTCGGAAAAAATGGAAATACCCGGAAACTCTGTTGATGGAAATCTAGCTTTGCCATATTTTAGCAAAGCAAAGTCAGGACTGAACTTATTCGGCTAAGATTCGACTAATTCAATTAAGCTTAGTCGAATTACGGATTCCTTATTCAGATTTGGATGTCCGTAATCGCTTAAAGAATGCTTATCCTACCTTATATAATTTGGTCGCGTATCTTTTTGTGTGTGTGTATGTGTGTGTGTGTGTGCGTGCGGAGGTCAGTTTCGAGGCGCGATTTGAGGGCCTTCCCGTGTCCAAAATGCCCCAATTCTCCGCCACCCGGGGAAATCGACCCTCCTCTTTCCGATCACGTTTTCAGAATTCTAATAAAATACAAGTTTACAAAGTTAAAGCCGGTTTTATTGATTTATGGGGGTCCGGGAAGGCTAATTTGCATAATGTGAAAAAAATACAAATTTCCTCATTCTCGCGAGTTGCGCTCGCGTGTGTGGTCGGTTGGGGCGGGGGTCCGAAGGACCCCAGCTATCGGTAATACAAATTTTCATGCAAAGGAAACATTCCAGCGCCCATGGCCCGCGAAGCGGGTTTTGGGCGCTGGTTTGAATATGAATAAGCCGAATCGACTTAGTTGAATTTCCGGTTTAGTCGTATCTGAATAAAAACATCTCTAGTGTACACCCTGTGGACGTAGGGACCGCGAGCACTGCCTGCCCGTGCTGTGACAGGTAGAGTTGTTATCGACCCGGGTCGAAACCAAAAGTGTTCGAACATTTTTCGTTTTGACCCGGGTCGAAACCAAAACGGGTCGAACGTTCGAACACGTGTTTTTTTCGACCCGGGTCGAAAGCAAGTCAGTTCGGAATAAATCACCTTGATAAATGCCAAATACAATGCATTTTCCCTTTTCTGCCTTGTTTAGCTGGAACTTTATCTTTTGCGGACCGTTCTTGCCTTTTCGCTTGCTTCCTCCAACCACTTTTCTTTTAGTTTTCTCTACCTTTCGTTTTCTAATTTCACTTTTCGCTTCTTCCTTTTGGCCTAACCTCCGATTACGCTACCCTACACACCACTCCCTTCGACACGGGCTTTCCGGTTCTATACCGGTAACGGGGTCCTTAAAAAAAATAAGGGTCCTTAAAAAAATAAAGGGTCCTTAAAAAAATAAGGGTCCATAATAAAAATAAGGGTCCTTAGAATTTCAGGTTAAGGACCCCTGTCCCGACAGGGGTCCTTAAAATAGATGCTATTTTTAAGGACCCCGATTCCGGCAACGCCCGAAAATACAGTATTTTCGCCGATTTTGCACAGATTGTGCCTCGTTTAGCTATTTAAATTACGCGACTCTCTTACACACAGTTTGTGCCTAAAAATAAGGCTTCGTGCCACCCGGGGCCTAGTCGCTTCGGATGGGCGCGAGCTCGTACAGGGTTTCGAAATCGGGGCGCCCGAGGAGCGCGAAGCGCCCAGGCGCCCTGATTTCGGAAGAGTGGAGCGGCAGCCCATCCGAAGCGACGGCCCGCCTTGCCTGACACGCCATAAGCCTGAAATCGTGCTCATCCCCACAGAAATTTCCAGGCAACCCGACGTGCTAGGTTTTTTAGCCAGGGACAATTTGACGCTTATGGCGTGTCAGGCAAGGTGGGCCGTCGTTTCGGATGGGCTGCCGCTCCACTCTTCCGAAATGGGGGCGCCCCCGGCCGCTTCGCCGGCCTTGGCGCCCCCATTTCGAAACCCTGTACGAGCTCGCACCCATCCGAAGCGACTAGGCCCCAGGTGGCACGAAGCCTTATTTTTAGGCACAAACTGGGGGTAATTCAAAATGCGAAACAAAGGACAATCTGTCGCGAATCCGCGTCTCCGCGAAAACGGCGAAAATACTGTATTTTCGGGAGTTGCCGGAACCGGGGTCCTTAAAAATAGCATCTATTTTAAGGACCCCTGTCGGGACAGGGGTCCTTAACCTGAAATTCTAAGGACCCTTATTTTTATTAAGGACCCTTATTTTTTTTAAGGACCCTTATTTTTTTTAAAGACCCTTATTTTTTTTAAGGCCCCGTTACCGATATAGAGCCGACTTTCCCAGGCTCTCCCCGAGCTAAGGAAGCCTCCCAAAGAGGTAACTTACTACTATAACTTTTTAATTTAGCAATGTTTTCAACTAAAAATTTCCTTAGACCAAGAACTTAGTGATACCTATCAATGGTAAAAATTTGAGCCGGATTGGATAGAAGGCGCCAAGTTTTGAACCATACGGGGGTTTGGGGACACTGCTTTGGCTGAAAAAGCGGCGCACAGAAAGAAAAACACCTCTAGAAAGTTGAAAAGTACGTTGCTTTCCTTTAGCTAGGTTTTCTACAACATTTACTAGCTATTATCCCCATGAAATTGCTTTATTTCTAATGAAAAAAAGAAATGCCGGGTTGAAACTTTGCCTGGGTCGAAAGTTTCGACCCGGGGTGGGTCGAAGTTTCGACCCGGGTCGAAACTTCGACCCGATTTTTGGTCGAAACTTCGACCCGGGCAAAGTTTCGACCCGAACCGAGTTTCGACCCGGGTCGATAACAACTCTAGTGACAGGCCATTCCCCTCCTTTGTAGGGTGGGGCGCCCCTCGCCCCCTCGCCAGGTTGTAGCTGTGGCTGACTGGTATTGATCCGCGCCTGCCAAGCGGGGGGCCCGGGTTCGACCCCCGGTCGCGGCAAAAATCTTTGCTTTTTTCCAAAAAATTGTCCCTGAACGTGCCCTTTAAGGCCCGAACAGGGGAATGTCGAAGGCCTTTGCACACCCTTTGCATTCCTTTCGTCACCCCCAAATCCCGTTCTCGGCTGTTTCTGGACCAAATTCGATGATCCAAACATTACTTACAATTGAGTGCGGATTTGAGAAATGAGCTCAGGATGTGCGATTGTAGTATTTTGACAAAGATAGCAAGAATGGTTTCGCGCAAAAATCCAAAGAGGGCTCTCGTCCCGCAGCGGCGACTGGCGATTTGCCAGAAATCAAAGAGCTCCCTCAAAAAGGGCTTTGATTTGGCAGTTCCGGGGCCCTTTAATGGACATTCGGCAAACCTGTGCGAGAGTATCGATTGCTCCTTCGATTCCCAGTGGGGTGGCCCTCTTCTTCAGAAATTGATCGAGTGTTCCACCAGACATCCATTCAAGCACCATTAGTTCTGGGGTGACGTCGAGGCAAACCTAAATATTTGTTTTTGGAATACAAACTTTGGACACTAACCCCTAGCAACCGTATAATATTCGGATGTTGCAGTTCGATTAAGCGAGCCCACTTCCTAAAACGGGAAAGGCGTTGTGAAAGGCCAATTTGCTAGTCTCATACTTTGAAAGATTGCTCCTTTGCCCGCTCTTCGTCAATTTACGACTTTTGACAGCCACCGGTAACATATACCAGTTTGCCTTCCTCATCTAGGATAGAACAAAAAAATTTTCAATATGGTTTTTGTGGCAGAAGTCCGGCCGAAAGTTAACATACGATAGATCTGGCCCCATTACTGACGACCGCACCAAGCAGCAACTCACGACGTGGGACTTCCCACTGGCCATAACTAAATGTAATTTTTGAGGAAAGCACGAAAAAACTAACGTAATTGGTTTTTCCTTGTACACATTCCGCAGTCGCGTCTTCAAAATGGGGTCTTAAAGAATTTTCGAATTTTTTTGATGATGCCAGCATTACTTTTTTGGTACAGTTCGACAAGCTCGATCACGGTTGGCCGATACCATTTCGGTTTTGCCTGTAGGTAATATCCACTCTTGTTGCGACAGATTGGATATGTGACAATTGGCGATTTCCGATCGAATCTCCCAAAGGCATAGTCACTGTCTAATGATGCCTCAATACCTCAATTCCACCGCATATCCATCGGTGCCGTACGGGTGGACCAGGTGGAGGGCATGGTGTTTTAGGTCTTCGTCCTTAAACGGGTTAAAAAATGAATTCTAGCCGCTTAGGTAAAAAAGCACTGCTTGCTGACAATTAAAACTTACAAAAGCCTTTTTCGTTAGGTCCGCGTCCCAACCAAAGAAGAACCACCTAAAGATTTGTATTTGTGTGCACTAAGTTTTGATAGTTCTCTCTCTCTCTCTCTCTCTCTCTCTCTCTTTCGCTATTGCGTCGATTTACCGTGTCTTATTCAAACTTACGGCTGTTGATATAGTGCTGGTATCTCGACGGCATGAAGCTTGGCGGCATGGCCCCTTTCTCCTGTCACCAAATGCTCGGCCAGCCACCAATGATCGTTTCTAACAAGTGACATGAGATTTAATCATTATCCGAATGATGTTGGAAGACGCCCAAAAGGCTTATACTTCTCCGGTCGAACACTTTCGTGCCGGCCCCCAGATTGCCTTGACATGTTTAGGCCGTGACATTTTCTCCTCCAGAAAATCTACTGTATCCCTGAGCCTTGCTTATCAATTAACGTCGACACAAAATTTGACTCGGGCGTCTGCTCCGAGGGCGCCACCTGTATTTATCATGAAAAACGGAGCTGGTATGCACGTTTCCGGACCATCCAGCGTATACCTTGTAGCCAATATTCGATAAGTGCCACTTGGTGACAGCTAGAGTGTATAGAAAATTGCAAGGGTACCATATCTGACCCAACGAAATGCGGTGAATCAGCACTGAGAGAGTACTGTCCGAGCGTAACCTACAGAGAATCGATGACCTTCAATCGATCGCCCTTCTTGAATTCCAAATAACAGTACTTGGGGTCTGGTTCTGGAGCATCATGAACGGCTTGCAGTTCTGAAAAGGAATGATATGCACCTCCTCGAAAATCGCAAGACGCCTGATTTGCCTGCAGCTACCAATCGGGAAAAGGCCATAAAGGTCCAAATAGCAACGCAATTTTCTGGCATTTTTATTTTCGCAATAGAGGTCTGGAAAATAAGTTAAAGGCGCACGAAACTCCCAAATCAAAGCCTTTTTGAGATGGCCCTTTGATTTCTGGAAAATTGCCGGCCGCCGATGCGGGACGAGAGTTCTCCTTCGATTTTTGCGCGAAATTGTTTTTGCCCGATTCCTTTGTGAAAACACTATAATTTGCGGATCCTGAGCTCATTTCTGAAATTAGCACTCAATTACTAATATTATTTGTTGTTTTAATCAGCGAATTTGGCCGAGAAGCAGCTGAGAACGTGACTTGTAGGTGACAACACGGAATTTCAAGCTTGCGAGCAAGCGCAAGCGTTGCAAATACCAACCAATGTATTTGTCTTCTTGTCCATCGGAAGAACGGGAACGGTTCGAATCGCCGAGTTTCGAGTCGGACGACGATTTCCGCCCTTTCTCGACTCGGCTTGAGGATTTGAGAAAGGATAGCATTTCTGGAAACAATTTGTAAAAGCAGAATTCAGAGCAGAGGAAAATTCTTATTTTAAATTGAGAAGATCTGATATAGCTTCGATGGGATTTTTATGAGACTGCTTACAGCTACCGTAGTGAATCAGTCGCAACGGCCCCTCGTTTTCAAGGCAATTTGCGGCAGGGGCGTGGACTCGTTATCGGTCGCACCCGTCCACCCAACGGCTGCCTGGCTTCGGCTGTAGGGGAATTCGACTTAAATGTTGCCATACTACCCCAATTATGAGAATGGATATAAAAATCCCATCATTCTTGTACAAGGCTTTGCTCTCCTAGTTCAGCTAACCCTTTGCCTTCCCACCGGGCCATCGATCCCAGGAATGGTTTTTTCTTGTTTTTCTTGCAACACATCTTCTAGTCAATAATCCATTTTAAGAAGCTTGGAAATGAATTTTTTGCTGCCCGATTTCTATGCATAAACCCGACATTTTGATTTGAAATAACAATATTTAGTGAACCAAGATTTCAGGTGGCGGGGAACGGAAGCAAATTTTTTCCGGCGGGCCAAATTAGCGCCCCAAGATTTTTGAAAACTAACGGCGCCGCAAGCAATAACTTTTGATACAAACCATTTAAAAGCAGCGAGGCAAAAATAATTTCGAGTCAGAAAATCATATGGGCCACCAAACGCCTCACCGGGCACCACGAACTAATTCGATGTCGAAGATCCCTCTGGGGTTCGGTAGCGAAGTCATGTTTTCAAAAAGAACCTTGTTAAAAAATGATTATCGATCATATTTCCGAAAATCTACAATTTGAAAGCTTGCCATCCTATTTTGTTACCTCTCTACACTTTTCCTAAATTTTTTTTGGAGATTTTCACTTTGTGGACTGGACTGTGGCTTTCGTTGCATGCAAAAACCGGAGCGACCAAATCTCTCCAGGCAGATCACCGCTGCCGCACATCAATTCACCGAACTGAAAACGAAATTTACGACTTTCTTTTCTGGGCTTGAACCAGGACTTGTTTTTTCTCAATTATAGCCAATTTTTTCGAGATTTTCCAGGTACCAAGCTTTCCTTCAAGAGTCTTTCCTCCCTGAGTCATTCATAAGGTAAAAATTAGCTTCGCCCGCGCTAAACGGGAAGCAACAATCTTTGTACCAGTCGCATTTTCGAACACCACCCTTTCAAAGACCTAAAAATTCTGATTTCTGTTTCCTGCCCTTTGTGATCGTTTCCCATTGCCAGCTGCATGCAAGTTTTGTCGAGATTCCGAAATCCAGAAGCTAACTTTTCGATGAATCATTGTCGTTTTGGCTTTTGGCCTGACGGGCGGTGACCGAGCCACCGATAAGCCGTTACGTCACGATTATCGTAAAACGATAGCACCGCAGATAAATTTGCTGATCAAAAACACTCTGACGCCTATTCCTTTCTGAATTTTTGGCGCGACCACGGCCTATGTTTTTGCTGAATTGCAATCAGGTTTTATTGGAAATTTTAAGACCAATGATTCGAAAAACGCGGCCGCTTGCCGCAAATTCCTTTGACATCGTTACGCTGTTTAATTTGTTCATATTTAATCCAGATTTTTATTTGCTCAATATTTTTATCGAATCTTGATGCAATTCTTTGAGCATTTTTACAGAAATGCCACCCAACCATGACAACTTTCTTGAGGAAGGAAGAATCGGAATTGGTGAGTTTTTGGCGAAACCTTTTTGCCAAAAATTCTCCAATGTCTAGCCATTTGCATAATGAACAAACGACGGAATTTTTTTTTTGCATAAGCCCGGGCCGAGAAAATCGGTTACTTTTAGCTGATTTCAGAACTGCAAGCCATCTTCGATTCTCCAAAGCCACACCCAACCAATCACTATTTACAGTTCAAGAAGGGCGATCTACTTCGGGCCATCAGCGAGATGTAGGTCTCAATTAGGCGCTTATTACTTTATATATAATGCCTTAGCTCTCAAAACGACAATATTTTCCTTGGTTAGAGACGAAAACTGGTGGAATGCGGAACATTTGGCGACAGGGGAATATGGGGCGGCTGCCAAGGTACACGCCGTCGAGATCCCAGAAATATTCAACGAACCGTAAGTTTTCAAACTAGCTATGAGTATTTTATATCAAATTCCTTCCCAAAACCTGCTTCACCAAAATACGCAGCAGAAAATCGTAGAAACTAAAACGATTTTAGGTGGTTCTTCTACGGCTGGGATGCCGCACTAACAAAAAAGGCTTTTGTAAGTTTTTTTCGTCCCTGCTAGTATGAAGCTAATGAGGTAAAGGCATCTGTTGAACGCCCCTTTGGGAGGGGAACTTGACTTTTTGGCAAATAGCCTACGGGGCGAGAGGGAGCACAGGGGAGAGGCGCAGTGACGCCCTTTTCCCGGCACAATCTCTTTAAAGGGCTAGCTCAGCCAATAAAACAAAGAGTCGAACCCTCTCTCCGTTTTTGTGTCTGCGCCTCTCTCATTTCCCCGCTATCTAACAACTGTCGTAATGGGGGACTGTCAATGCGCGCTATCCCGGCGACCATCGTGTCCCAAAGTACCAACCCAAGCTCTAAAAGTTGAAATAGCCCTTTAAGGACAAGGATCCGACAAAATTGGGCGTCTACCTGGTACGTTCGAATGGAACGGGGTTTGTCTTGGAACTGAGGTGGTGAACATCCACCCAAACACTGCAATAAAGCATTTAGAGCCAAAAACGGCATCATCCAAGCCTATCCGATCCATAAAAATGGAGAAGGGGAATACTATATCCAAGAAAATCGCAAATACGCCTCCATCCAAGATCTCATCGCCTTCTATCAAACGTGTAAGGATTTTGCTTTGAGAAATTTCGTTTTAAACATATAAATGCTATAATTTCCGCCTAGTATGATTGCAGATACCTCACGTTTCCTGGGCTCTCGACTCGATAATATACCAAATTATGCGAACATTAGGTATACTTCGAACAAATATGTTTTACTTCTCCGCCTCGCGGGGTTAGCGGAGAACCACAATTTCGGTGTATTTGCTGTGGAGAACAGATTTATAGATGTGGTCCAAATGATATCCGGCGTCGCGATCTGCTAATTGGAGAATACTCCCTCGGTCATGGTTATTACGCTGAGGTAATTCTTCTCCCGTCGTGTTGATTGTGCTGCCACGGTTCAGGTGATGGAAGCTAGATTTTATCTAGTGCCGGCCGCGGCGAAAATTCGCTACGAAGACGACCAGGAATCCGTGGCAACATTCGAAAGGTATGCGAGTTTCGATGAAGATATTTTGTCAAGGCTTTACTTTTTCACTAAGACGGTAAAGTAAAGTAGATTTTTCGGCATGAATAGGGGTTGATCAGTAGAGCCTTTTCGAAACTGATAACGTGGGATGAAAGTGACATATGCGAGATTTAGAGAAGTGAAATACCTAAAGGCGCTTCAACATCCAAATATTGTCCGAATGCTTGGGGTAAGTTAAGGTGTTTTTCGCCATCTAACCGCTAGCATTTTTAGGTTTGTCGCTCGGCGACACGACCCATTTTGGTGCGTGAAATGATGTCACATGGAGATTTGCGGCGAATCCTGCGACAGTTCCCTTGTCCCCTCGGCTTTAACGATGACATTAACATTCTGACACAGGTTATCACGAGGCGTCTTTTGGCAATATCCCAAATGATATTTCAGGTGGCCGCTGGCATGGAATATTTATCGAACGCCGGTAAGGTGCATGCTGAATTGACCGCACGAAAGATCCTAATTGATTATGCTGGAGGCCAACTAATCGCCAAGGTATCGATCAAGTGAAATTTCTTAGTCAAATTCGCTGTGGGCTAGAGGAAAGATGTTCGCAGATTGCTATCTTTTTGCAGGTTTCTGGATTTGGAAAGGTCTACGATCTGCCCGAAGATGGTTCTCCCTATCACGTTCTCGATCCATATGCCATTCCGTGGGCTACGCCTGAGGTATTTTTAAAATGTTAGCGACCACTTTCATTTTAGCTATTAGAAGGGCAGGTTCTAACGAGACTGTCCAACTCATGGTCCTTTGCCGTACTCATTTTTGAGGTATTTTCCAAAGCCGAACATCCCTATAAAAGAGAACTAAATGGTCCTCACGATGGTAAGTATATTTGAAGGTAGAACCATTTCACTGTCAACTTTCTAGCCGATGCATTATTGCGTTGGCTAAAGCAAGGGAAGCGACTCCGACAACTCGGGCCTGACTATATTTATGAACGGGTAAGTCAGGGCCAGGGGCGTAGCCAGAAAAAAATTTCGGGGGGGGCCCCCAAAAATTTTTCCAAAAAACTCAAAACATTAACGAGCAAACAGCGTCGCAGGCAAAAAATTTTGAAAAACAGGTTACATAGCTCTACAAATAGCCGTAAAAACGTGAAAAAATAGCGCGGCAGGCAGCAAAATTTTTGAGAAAATCAAAATCATAAGGGTCCCCCCTTATGAAATTTTCCGGGCCCCGGCCGATTTCGGGGCCGGGCCCGGTATTACGCTACGTCCCTGGTCAGGGCTGTCAACGTGCCACTTTTAAATTCTGGTGCAGATCGTCGATCCGTGTTTTGCGTATGATTGGCGGCAACGACCAACATTCTCCAAAATTCTCGAACTTCTAAAGGTAAAGCACAATAACAAAATTTGTAAAAGTGATCTTTGAGACCCCGCCACCCTTACAAAGTGAACGCCCCTCTCCTCAAATGTAAGTAGCAAGGATTAGCTGCCTAAACTGCTCATAAAACGCAAATCCATTTAGTCACGCTTGCTTTTCGATTTAGACAAATGAACGAGCGAATCAGCGAGGATCGATGGGAGATCAACCTTTATCGGTTGAACATTGGTGATGAGATCGGCCACGGGGCTTATGGAGTAGTATGTACCGAATTAACGGCATTGTAATGCTTTTGATATTGCTAAGGTCTACCAAGGGGAATACCGCGGACGGATGGTGGCTGTCAAAGAACCTAATAACCCACAACAAAACACCCCGATTGATTTTGAAAGGTAAACCTGCATACCTCCCGATATTTATCCACTATCTCAGAGAGTCGCGCAACTTAATGGATCTCAGGCATCCGAATATCGTCCGCTTGTTGGGGGTATCTGCCGGGATTTGACAATTACGTAATAAAATTCAGATAGTGACATCCGTGTTTCCAAACAAGATTGTCACTGAACTCATGCCGGGCGGCTCATTGGTCAATTTTCTTCGAACCAGTCAGACTATCATTCTACAACAGCAAGCTCTCTTCATCCTTACACAGGTCAGGATTATTATTGGCTTTTTAGCGGGGCTCCGAAGTGTCAAAAATTTAGTATTGGTCCGAAAACCGGAGCCTGTACGTCGGAGACCTTTGCACGCCGAAGGGCGCCGAGGCGCATGAATTTGAAATTCCCCCGACGTCGCCTCCAGAATCACGTTCTCGGTGGTTGCTAGGCCAGATGCAATTATTGAAACACCAAAGATATTTAAAATTTGCTGCGGATTTTAGAAATGAACTCAGGGCTGGTACCAGATTTCAAAATTTTACTAGGGTAGTAACCGGTTTTTACTACCCCGATTAAAATTGTTACTACCCTGGTTAAAAAAGTTACTACCGGCTAAAATTTTGTTACTAGGGGTCCTAAAAAAGTTACCACCCCGCGGAAAAGTACCGATTTTTAGTCGAAATCAAGCTAATTGCTCCGGAATAAACTAGTGAAGCATCACTACGGCCAGTAAAAAAGTACCCGAACCAGCCAGGTACACGACCCGGCAATTTTAGCTGACAGTGTGGTTAGTTAAACTCCAAATCTATAAAAAACTTCCTAAGAAAGGATAAGAAGTTCTAAGCAGTGCCATCGGCTTCATGGCCATCAAAGCTTTTTCCCTTGGTGTTATATACGATGAAGAACCAAAAATCCAATCGGGTCTTGAATCTCACCCGACAAAATAATATTTGGCGGTATTAGTCTCAAATTATTGACCCTGGCCTCTTTCACAAGCACCATAAAGTTGCCGTAGGAATAATCACTACCAAGATAATAAGTTCCGACCCTGAGTTAAATGCCGAAATATGCAAAAAAAAAAGTCAATCGGAACAGTTTTACGAACTGGGTAACGCGATTTTTCATGATTGGAAAAATAAAAAAAATCTGGCGGATCAGCCCTGCAATTCCATCGCTAGGGTTAGATAGAGCATTTGGGTACCGCGACACGCGCTCCGCGGACGCTTGCGCCGCTAAAATAGTTCCGTCTCACCGGTTTTCTAAGATTCAATAAGATTTCCACTCACCAAGTATATTAGTACATTCTCTTCACTTGTGAATTTTTGATCAACGCTACCGATTTAAGGTCCTCAAGATAGATCTTGACTTAATTTTTCAAAAAATATCGCTACTTTTGAAAGGAGAATTTTCGTTTAAAAAAAGGAGAATTTTCTTTGAACTGAGCGAGAAAACAGTCAAAAAATTGAGAATTATAATTTTTACGAAGCCGTTGGGACGGACATTTTGCTTTACCAGTACTGAAAATGTTACCACCCTAGTAAAAAAAGTTACATGAAAAAACATTGGTGTATCTTTTTTTACTAGGGTAGTAACTATGTTTAGTAGCCATTTAATCATGAAAATACATCGTATGTGACTTTTTATTGACAGAGACCAGTAGACCGATGGCCTATCTTTCATACGAAATCATGTGTAGCCCGCTTGGTGCCCATTGACCGGAATTACATCGTTTTCTACAAAACGGGTTACTACCCCCTAGTAACAAAAAGTGGCACACCACCCCAGAAAAATTTTTTTACTCCGGGGTAACTTTTTCTTACCCGGGTGTAACTTTTTTGATCCCCCTAGTAAAAGATTATATCGGGGTAGTAACTTATTTAGCCGGGGTAGTAAACTTTTTGTCGGCGTTCCCTGTCGAGCCTTGTCGGTATTTTTCGTATCTGTCTTTGCAAAAACACGGGTTTGCCTCTCAACAACTATGTGGCACCGGCCCCGAATTTTTTTTTTGCTCCCGGGACCTGTGAAATTGATTTTAAAATTGCTCTAAAACGTCCCGCTCGGGGTACGTAATCCGGGTCACGGGCCACTAATCGGGGTAGTAAGAAATTATACTACCCTAGTAACTTTTTACTACCCTGGGCCGGGGTAGTAAACGAAATTTGGTACCAGCCCAGAATCTGCGTATTCTGGCGTTTTCACCAGAATACTAGAAAAACAGTTTCGCGCACAAAGCGACAGGGCGAGGGGCCTCAGCGATTAGTGGCCGCTGGCAAAGGGTCTGGTGTGGCAGTTTGGTGCTCGTTTTTAAAGGGCTGGAGAATGGCCAGGCGTCCGTCGGGGTGACGGACCGACGTGACGCTACTATTGACGTATTTCGTATTCGGGATTCGTACTTTTTATGCAAAGTCCAATTTGGGCGCAGGCCAAAGCGAGAAACCCGGAAACGGCCGCTGCATGAACCCTAGGGTATTTGATGGCTTTTCGCCGAGTCGGTTCGGTTGACGCCATGGTGTACTGGTTAGCACGCTGGGCCGTTAGGTGAACGATTACTGGTTCGACTCCCGCCCGCTGCAAAATTCTTTGCTTTTTCGCCAAATGCATCTTTCTCGAGACTCTT